ACGCCCCAAAGACAGACGACCAAGTTGTGTCAACAATCAGTAAATGGTTGTCGTGGGGTATGTCTGCAACGTGTTGGACAAGCTGAAGCAAGCCAGCCAATCATCTCGTAGTCATATGGAGATAGCTTATAGATATTAGAGAGAGTTTTTCAACAGGAAATCCTCCATCTCTCTCCTGAAGACTGTTTATAAGATATGACCCCATAAACGCAACCAAACCCAGTGATACCTTCACAATTCCACAAAGAGTGGTACGGGGTTTTCACAGTAGAACGAGTGTTATTGGGCTCTAACCGTGTCATCCGAGACTTCCGAAGCACGCAAAATTCGTTCATTTTGTAGTTTTATCAACTGGGGAGATACGAAGATGAGTCAGACCAGCCAATATAGCACGATGGTTCTGAGTCAAGTATACCTGATGAAACGGTCGAGATGGATGCTGCGAGTAAATGAGGAATGGCATATGCGTAGGGGAAGATAGTTTCATTGAACGGGGAGCAGTGTAAGGTGATACCGAAGATGATCGCCGTGAAGTACCTGATTATGGACTTGTCACAAAAAATCGTCTCTATTAGTGTTATTTCAGGTCACACAACTAGTGTGGTAAAGAATTCGGAATTGCAAGATACTGAGTGCAAGAACCAGGACACTCCTCGTATAATGTTGGCATTCTGTGACGACACTACCCTGCCCTTTGACAGTGTCTCTACTTGTTCCTTAATATAAGTTCCGTTCAAAACACCAAGGATTCTTCCCTTCTGATATCATGCAGGTAAACTTCCATTTTTTCGTGATGGAGAGAAAGCGCACGCTCATAACCAAGAAATATCACTGATTCAATGAACAAAAGGAATATAAAATTATGATAACGCATTTTGCACACGATTTGATCTTAGATATGGCTCAGAACCTTTATTTAAGTGAATAAGCCTTTTTTCGCATCCATCTTGTAAAATACTATGTTGCAGTAAGACGGGGTCTGCAAAATGCTGCCATATTCGCCCCGGATAATGATGTTACCTACTTTTTGATAAAGAAAATAACTTCCAAATGGCAATAACTATATCCAGCGAGAAGGTTTCCCAGTAAACTCCCGTACTTCAGTGTATTAAGGGACGAGGTAAAGTAGGCTGCTTTGTTTTTCCGCCGCTCTGTATCAAGCCCCATAAGCCGAACAAAGGTAAACACCTGTTGTAATGGCGGATAAATACACAAACTCGTCCCTAATTGGTTTAGCTGTCGATTTACGTTTTGTGATGTACACCGATATTTAGGGGCTTCCAAACGCGTGACCTTTAGTGAGAAATTCACAGACGGATATACGTACGTGAAACGTTGTAGTGAAATGTGACATGGAACGTTTTACCCCTTATTTCCCACTTTCCATTTCACACTGTCTCATGTTCGCCAAGTGAAAAATGGTAAATCCGTTAAAATTATCACCCAACGAAACTTGTTTGTGGTTTGAAATTTGTCTGGGTGTAGAATTTGTTATATCCATACTAATATCTGAGAAACTGTTCTCCTCGTTCTAAGCGCCGTGGGTGCTGGCTGAATCCCAGAATAAAAGACCTCGTTTATCCCCTGACAAAACAAGATGCAGAATAGAGTCAGAACGTTTTCAATTAAATGCTTATGGGAATGAGACACATTCAGATGAAAGAACGTAAAACCTGAAACACATTCAAATTTGATCATTTTGGACGCGAGGGTCTTGAATCTTATAAATGATGTGAAATCCGCTATGGGTGGGGAATATACAGGTGGATTCTTCGTTATCTATAAGAATTAGGCTCGTCATTCCCAGGCTCATTTCGACGAATAATACTTAAATCTTTTCATCTGTCAAACCATAAGGTACAGTACTTCTGGAAGGTGGCCACGGCCAATCCAAGGCTACCGAATGGGTAAGTGACCATTGATGGTGGGAAGCGAGCCCAGGACGTCATGATCAAAACTTCACGTTGATGACCTTTGGCTACCTCTCGTAAGATTTGAAAACACAGTGACTGATAAAGTTTACTTTGCACAGCTGTTGAATTAGTGCTTTTGGTGCTTAAACTACGGGAAATATTGAAAGAGACGAATTCTGTAGACGGTCTGCAATACTTGTGTTTTAGTTCGGCTTCTGCTGACAGATAAAAAGCGTCATGGTTTAGGCTTCTTTGTTGATGAACAAATAGAAACCCAAGAATATGTTAATATTTTTGTGTGCAATAAAGAATAATTTGGTGGTAAAAGCCATGTGTCTTTTCGGCTTCACCGTGTCAGACTCTGTGAGAGACAATTGATGAATAGTTAGAACAGTGGTTTGCCTTGGAGGACCAAGATGCTTCGACGAAACCGTCTATCAACCCGTTCGTCGTTTCTAGTTAAAATCAACTAAGAAAATTCTGTTAACTGGGATACATGAGCTATCAGCCGGGAACTTGCTTGTCATATCACCGGCAGCTTACATTTTCTGTGTCAGGAGGGAAGAATCCACGTGGAATTCATATTGCAGAGGCGAATACTGAAGCAGCAGAATGATGCAAACATCAAGCCGATTAGACCAACCGGTCGTGAGCAACAGACCAAAGAACAGACGATGAATTTGTCAGAAGTATCGCCCGACAAACAAAAAGAGGCATTCGGACTAGCAGACAGAACGCAGCGGGTTTTTTTGCAACCAGGAAGATAGCTCAGGTGAGGAGCTACCGAACAAGCCTTCAACTGAAGCAATCGGATCAGCTGAACCTAAATAATGAGTAAGAGAATCAAGCTAACGGCCACAGTGAACTGGCCAGAATGCAGCCAGAATACTCGGGCAGTCGGAGGATCAAAGCTGCTGTAGCTCAGTTTGGAGAACGGACCATATAAATGGTTACATATGTTCCACGAACTTCTCCAGATACGAGTGTCCTCACTCGTCTCGCCATCTTCGTTACTATATGGAGTAAAAAGGGCACGAGCAGGAAGGATAGGTATATGAACCTTGTCGTCCTTATTGTGACACAACAAGATCCCATCACCAAATCGCCTAAAAAACTATAGTGTAAGACAAGGAGCTGTGCACAATGACGTCCTTGTCATTTCGTGCAAGGTCAGACTGGTAGAGAATCATGATGGGCATCCTAGATTCGTCCAAATAGTCTTTACTATTTTGTACTCTATTCTATTCGTAGATAATAAATTCTGTCTCTCTTGTTAGCCTACAGGCTTATCATTCATCTATATCAAAAATGAGCAAAGCTTTGCTTGAGTGAGGTGTATTTTACTGTTTTCAGTTGCATGCTGATTACTTCCAATAATGATATCTACCTGAATTTTGCGTACGAGTATGAGTACCAAACAGGTAACCAGCTATTTGACTTCGAACCAGCTCAGCAATGAGTTCCCTGTGATAAAGCTTTCACTTCCGTGGAAAATGGAAGAAACGTTTATGTACGCTTTATGGAATAAGCAAAGCTATATGCCCCATTTCCTTTACCATGAAAGACTTGCGGAATATGCATAGCATTAGGGTACAGTTTAAAGTGTTCTCTAAGAAAATTTACACAATCGTCTAAAATTACGGTGGTAAGTCAAATGAGGTCTTTTACAAACGTTTTGGCAAATTACGGTTTATCCGTAAAGTTGAGTATCATATTATTGCGGTGCAAGCGGACAATACTTACTCACACAAATGTCAAACGAGACCGCATGTAGGCATTGTTTTTGTCCCCACTGTGATTGCATTTACTCATGGGCCTATTCAAACGCATTTTAATAGCACGTTACCATTTCCTGATCGTGGCAACAGTATCTGCGAGCAACAAACGTTCGTACTGGTACGAAATGGGGCAACCTGAATAATTTGTACAGATCGAGACAGGACTCAAGACTTGAAGACGGTGAATAAACTGAGCTGGAGAGATTCGAATGGGAAACATGCTAAAACCGTTCCCATTCTGAGCTTGCTGTGAGCTCATTTACACCGACTTTACGCATGATTCGTAATCTGTGATCAGTAAAGCATCGGAGCCGACAGTCATCAATACGGGTGGTATTCCGGTGATTGCTGAAACTAAGTGCTGTATGCCTAATGTCGGTGGATCACAATCCTTCTTGACCGATCCGATCCCCACCTGAGGCTCGACAGGTGCGCATCGCCACAGAGGATTCCCAACAGACTAACTAAAACTGAAGTAGGTCGCCGTTTAGGAGGAAGGTTTTCATTAGTCCCTATGTACTAATGGTGGCATCTCGGTTGATGATGGAAAGTTTGTCCCCTGTATTCCAAGCTCACTAATTAGAGCCTGTTGAAGACGCGCGGGCAGATGATTTAGGAATTCTCCGGGAACCTCACAATTCTATCGTGTTGAACAACAGTAATTCAGTGTTGGGTAACAACATGAGAAAATTCAACCTGTAGCGTACTACTCTGTCTATGTGGTACACTAAATTATTGTCAACAATATCTAAGACGACACCAGCATACTAAGATGGACGGAGGAGCGTGCGGTGATAAAAAGGCCAAAAGGGTATGCACATTAGGAATTAAAATGAAACAAAAGGTGTGACTCAAACTCACAGTTGTTCAGTGTTCTTATGATCAGGAAATGAGCGTCGAAGAGCCAATATCCGCCAATGTCTTCAGTTCAGTTCGGTCTGACAGCCATCCGTTGAACAGAACAGGATGGTATTGATCGAAGTGCCAAGAGATGCCGTTGAAGCCTCTAAAATGTTTTGTTTCACTCAGTTAGTTCCGACCGATATAATTCCAAGACACTCCAAACCAGAAGAAGAGACCGTGCCAGAATGAAAGATTCATTTACAGCCTCTTTGTATTGCGCGGTGTTGACGTTCAAAAGGTGTGTGTGTTTTACATTGAATTGTCGGTACAACAAAGGAGTGTCGCACCAAGGGACGTTGAAAATCATGGAAAAGTCGGAAATGTACAGGTACCCACACAACTCCCCCGCCAGAGCGTTTGTTGTACAAGATAAACGCCTGATAGTAAAATAGAAAGAAAGAAAGCGTCAACTAACAAAGTCTTTAAATCTCACAGGATGTCGAACGTTTCTGCCGGAACGGCGGGTTACCAGGGAAGGTTGTTGCTGTGGTGGTGCTGGCCGGTGTGGTGTAGTGTCTGGTGTGATGATAGAGGGTGGATCATCAACAGGATGTGTTGGTGGTGTTTCTGTGGATGGTGATAGTGTCGGTGTTGCTGGTGACGGAGGTGTATCAAAATACGCGGGTTTCAGTCTGTCAATGGAAACTGTGTCTGGCTTATCGGCTTTCTGAACCACCAAATATTTGTCTGTGCTACTAAGTACCTTAAATGGACCATCATAAGGTGGTGTGAGTGGTTTGCGAATAGAATCGTTACGAATAAAAACGAAAGGTGACGTACATAGATCATTATGTACAAAAACGTGTGTGGATGACGAGCGAGTGGGTATGGGACGAAGATGTGACATACGGTCTTCGAGTTGTGGGACAAATTGGGATGCGTTAGGATTGGCATCGGTGCTGGGTTGAACATACTCACCTGGAAGGCATATGGTGATACCGAAAACGAGTTCAGCCGACGTGCTGTGGAGGTCGTCTTTGACTGATGACCGCAGACCCAAAAGAACTAGTGGCAGGTTGTCGCTCCAGTTATTGGGGTTTGGCTGTGATATCAGTGCTGCTTTGTGTTGACGGTGTAGGCGCTCTACCATGCCATTGGACGAAGGATGGTATGCAGTTGTTGTGATGTGTTTACAGCCAAGCAGTTTGGTGAACTCACGAAACAAATTCGACTGGAATTGGCTGCCACGGTCTGTGGTGACGGTAGACGGTACAGCAAATGTAGCAATCTAGTGCTGGAGTAGTACCTTCGCAATATTTTCTGCCGAGGTGTCGGAAATGGGTAGTGCCACCGGCCAGCGTGTGAAACGATCAACAACGGTTAATAAGTGGGTATGTCCATTTGATGGTGGTAGTGGGCCAACAAGATCGACGTGAATATGTGTGAAACGGAAGTGGGGAACGGTGAACGTACTGGGAGGAGAAAAAGTGTGGCGTGTGGGCTTTGTTTCTCTGACAAATCCGGCAGAAATGAGTTTGCGAGATGCACGGATACCGGGATGGGAACAAGAATGAAAACGATCGAAAACGATATTCCTGTAGCAAGTTGGAACGATAGGACGAGGGTTACCTGTAGACCAGTCACATAGGACTGTGCCATCGGTTGAAGGTAGGGGAGAATTCTTGAGCTGGAGTGTGGAGGATGTGCGCAGTTGGAGCAAAGATGGATCATCACGCTGGAGGTTTGCCAGCTCCGTAGGATCGAATTTAGTCTGCACCGTGTTGATGTCAGGTCTGGATAAAGCATCAGCCACAACATTATCGACTTCATGCACGTAGCGGATGTCTGTTGCGAACTGAGAAATATAATCCAAATAGCGGATATCTCTGGGTGAATGTCGGTCAGGCTTGGCATGAAGTGCGTGTGTCAGGGGTTTGTGGTCAGTGTGCACACGAAATTGTTGTCCTTCCAAAAGATGACGGAAATGTCGGATGGACAAGTAAATGGCCAGGAGTTCACGAGAAACGTGCTGTATTTTGTCTGTGCCGCCTGGAGTTTTTGCGAGAAGAACGCTAGTGGCTGTAACTGGTTGTCCACTATTTGGTAAAGCACTGCACCGAACGCAGTATTTGATGCATCAGTCGTTAGGATTAACTCAGTATTTGGATCCGAATGTGGGTGGTGCAGCATGGTGGCATCTGCGAGAGCTTTTTTGGCTTCTGTGAAAGCTGTCTCGGCCTCGGGAGTGAAATCGATCGCCTTGACGTTGTACTTGAGAAGATCGGTTAAAGGTGAATTGATGGTCGCACAATGAGGAATGAAGCGAAGGTAGTAGTTTAAAATTCCAAAGAAACGTCGTAACTGTGTGATCGTTTGAGGTGCAGGAAATGACAGGATGCTGCGCACCTTATCTGGGAGGGATGTCAAACCGATTTGATCGATATGGTGCCCGAGAAAGTCGAGGGACAGAACTCCGAACACGCATTTACTAGGGTTCAGCTGAAGTCCGTATTGTTGGAAACGTGGAAAGAATTGACGCAAGTGGCTGGCATGCTCTGATGGAGAGGCGCTGGCAATTAAGATGTCGTCGATGTAGCCAAACGCGAACGGTAAACCTCGAAGTACTTCATCGACGAATCGTTGGAACGTCTGGGCAGCGTCTCTCAATCCAAATGGCATGCGAATGAACTCGAACAGGCCAAAAGGCGTGGTGATGGCTGTCTTGGGAATGTCTTCTTCGGCCACGGGGATTTGTTGATATGCCTTAACGAGGTCAACCTTGGAAAAGATTGTCTTCCCAGAGAGATTCTGTGCAAAATCATGAATGTGTGGGATCGGGTACCTGTCGGGGACGGTGACGTTGTTGAGAGCACGGTAGTCTCCACAGGGTCTCCAGTCACCAGATGATTTCGGAACCATGTGCAAAGGTGAGGCCCATGGGCTTGAAGACGGTCGAATGATGCCAAGATACATTATGTGTTCGAATTCAAGTCGTGCGAAACGGAGTTTGTCGGAGTTGAGTCGTCGTGGTTGAAAGTGGACAGGTTTGTTTTTTGTAGCGACGTGGTGATGCACAGCATGAGAGACTGGGTCCGTGAGCTAACACGGTTTAGTGAGGGATGGAAACTCCTTCAAAATGTCAGCAAACGGCGATTGCGGGATCGCCAGCCGAATACCCAGGGAGTTGGTGCAATTACCAATGCCGATTGCACAAAGCTTGGTTGTGGTATCTACCAGCTTGCGATTTTTGAGGTCCACAGTTAGTCCAAAATGTGGGAGGAAATCCGCGCCAATAATGGGAGTCTGAACATCCGCCTGGATGAAAACCCATTGAAAAGAGCGTCGGAGGCCTAAATCAAGAGTGATGGACCGTTGGCCGAATGTAGAAATAGTTGTTGTGTTTGCTGCTTGCAGTGTAAAGTGAGATGGTTTGAGGCTGTGATGTTTGGGTGGGGGGATTACACTGATCTCGGCGCCGGTATCAATAAGGAATCGAACACCACTGGATCGGTCAACGATATAAAATAGGCGACTTTCATGTGGAGGGCCAGCTGAAGTCATCGCCGTTACTAGCTGGCCTGGTCGTTTGACTGTGGGAAGGAAGTGCGGAATGAACATGGAGGATCACAGCGGCGTGCCTTGGAGCCGAATGTGCGGTGGTACCAACACCAGGTTTGTAATCGGCGGTTTCTGGACCGTGATCTAGGTCGATGAGGTACTTCGGTGGACACAGATCGATGAGTAGTAAAAGCGTTGCACATTGCACTGACCTGATTGCACAACATGCGAACGGTTTCTGTTAGGTCCGTAATGTCCTCATCGATATGCGAGTGATGGGATGGGGAATCAGGACTGCGAGAAACGTCGGCACGGCGAACTGGGGCAGGAACTGGTAATGCCGTAGGGGATTCGTGCGTCGGAGTGGTTTCGGCGGGTGATGTCATGTGGACGCAAGGTCCACCAGCCGGGTAGCATTAGATTATTCTATTGGCGTGTTGCGCAACCTTGTCAAGTGGAGTAGTGGGTTCCAGCATTGACAGGACCAGCTGCATCGGAAGAGGTAGTTTAGCAACCCATATCTCCCTGAAAATGGCGTCGTCCATTTGCCGTCCAGCCAGTAGCGACCGCATGTGGCGCATAAGCTGGGACGGAGTTGGGACTCCAAGCTCCACCGACGTGAACAGTTCACGGAGCATTTTTCCGGCTGATTTTCCGGTACGCTGAATGACTGCTTCCTCAAGCTTCATGTAAGGAGCTTCTAATGGAATGGGATCGAGGAGATCTTCCACGTCAACAGCGATGTCAAATGGAGGCGCTTGGACAACGTGAGAATATTTCACGCGCTCGCTGGTTATATGTCGAGTGGCAAATACGGCTTCTATTTGTCGAAACCACACTCGAGGGTTGTTCGGGGCAAAAACGGGCAGTTTGAGAGCAACCGCGTGGATGTCAATAGATTCTCTGTCAGACATGGTGAATGGTATGGAACTTGGGCCGAAAGAATCAAGCTAGTGTCAATGGATGGAAAAACAATCTGGGCTCACCAATTTTGTAGCGTACTACTCTGTATATGTGGTACACTAAATTATTGCCAACAATATCTAAGACGACACCAGCATACTAAGATGGACGGAGGAGCGTGCGGTGATAAAAAGGCCAAAAGGGTATGCACATTAGGAATTAAAATGAAACAAAAGGTGTGACTCAAACTCACAGTTGTTCAGTGTTCTTATGATCAGGAAATGAGCGTCGAAGAGCCAATATCCGCCAATGTCTTCAGTTCAGTTCGGTCTGACAGCCATCCGTTGAACAGAACAGGATGGTATTGATCGAAGTGCCAAGAGATGCCGTTGAAGCCTCTAAAATGTTTTGTTTCACTCAGTTAGTTCCGACCGATATAATTCCAAGACACTCCAAACCAGAAGAAGAGACCGTGCCAGAATGAAAGATTCATTTACAGCCTCTTTGTATTGCGCGGTGTTGACGTTCAAAAGGTGTGTGTGTTTTACATTGAATTGTCGGTACAACAAAGGAGTGTCGCACCAAGGGACGTTGAAAATCATGGAAAAGTCGGAAATGTACAGGTACCTACAAACTCAAATCGGTCAACAAACAAAACTGGACTTGTGTTCTCCGATTTCCGCTACAGATTCGTGGATGTTAAATAAACCGAGTAGTGAAGCATATGTTAGCAAACCATGAGCACAGTCAAGTCTAATCAGAACATTTCCAACATAAGCCTTCCTTCCTGAATAGGCCCCAGTGAGAAGCGACATATATAGAGTTATCCAGAAAATTAGTACGTACTCGAATCGTGGCAATTTTACATCTCAATCTGACAAGGTCATCGAGAGACCAAATGGTTGATTTCCGGAGACGAGATCTGAGGAAATTTAGGCATGTTTTTCCCGAAATAATCTTGAAAAGAAAAGCCACAGTTGCAACATTGCACGATTCATGTCCGGGACGATTTCGCTGCATCTCAACACGGTGCACACTGCACAACCATACTGTGTATATAAGTTCATGTAAAACCATAATTTTCGATAAATATAGGGGAAATTTCAATAGTCAAGTTACGTCACCATGGTAAAGACACATGAACAAAGAACTGTTTCGGCTGACACAATATTAGGTTTCCATCAATGTATGGCAATGGTTTGAACAAACCTCAACAGCCTGGTATTCTTTGCCACGTAAATGACCCGAAACGCAGTGCTTCGGTCAGCTGGATGTTGCGTCATCAGAAGATGACGAGCGACGGCCGACGACGGGATCTTATGGTTTCGAACGTTGTCATTATGCCTTTGATCTGACCCTGATTGCATCACAAAACGTTGTACCCAATTTGGAATATATTCAATCACTCGGTTACGTAACTTCCGCTCTGTTCGAACCACGTAGGTTGCTCCGCAACTACACTGAAATTAGTAAATCAGATTCGATTTGGTGAACAGTGGTGGACGTTGTGTCACCGACGGTGTGGGGATCTCAATCGTTCGATGAACAATTCTGAGGTCAGCTGCATAATATGTTCGAGCAAGCGCTGATCCAAGTGGTCGTTTGAGCAAGCAATTGATGTCATCACGTTTGAATGCAAGACAAATGGTGACTAGTAGTTTTTCTGCTGAACAATTTGTTTGTCTGATCACTTTAGGCTTGCTGTGCCTTTCGATAAATGCATCGGGATAAGCGTTTCTAGTCAAAGATTCTTTCAGCTGTCGTAGTTCGTTGTCAATCATGTCTTCTGTGCAGATATGTCGTGCTGTTTGAAATAGTGTTCGGACCAGACCACGTTCATATTCCACAGACACAAAGCTGTCATATCGCGGTTCGGGCCATTTGGGAAGCGCTGCGTTTTTTAATTGCGGTTTACTTAGACGAAATCTTTTTGTGTGGATGTCGTAGTCCTCTTGGCAGAATCCTCACAGTCCGTTGATACGTACTTGTGTTGATTGGCTACTTTGCTTTGTGGTGCTAATCTATCGCCGTATGACAACTGATGCGGTTCCGGCAGCTAATGCCATCATTTATCATTTGATATTTCAGTGAGGTGTTCTGAGATAACTAAATTCAGGCAAAGTGTCGTACTTCGGGAGTGCAGTGCTGCTGGAACTTTCTCAATTTCTAGGACTAGAGAAAAATAGAACTACAAACTATTCTGCACAAGGAAATGGGCTTATTTCACAATTGAAGGCTTTCAACGGTCGAAATTCCCATGATGTGGAAAATCCACTTGTAATTTTCACATCAAAATGTCTGTCGCTGCGAGCCGGAATCCGACCGGCCACCCTCCACGTACTGGGTAGAAGCTCCACCAGATGAGTTATCATGGTCCCGGACGGCCAGCTGTGAATAAAGTAAGTGAATATTCGGTGACGCATGAACCACTATTCCAGTGATGCACAGTAACTATCCTGGTTTTAATCACTGGGCTAGCCTCGTCGGTCACTTTCCAGTAGGGCGAGCAACACACAAATGAAACTGCTTATTGCCACTTTGTCCCATTGCTTACCGTGGGGCCATCCATAGTTCTACTAAACGAAATCCACACTTTTATGGACAGGAATGGAAATACGACGCCCCAAAGACAGACGACCAAGTTGTGTCAACAATCAGTAAATGGTTGTCGTGGGGTATGTCTGCAACGTGTTGGACAAGCTGAAGCAAGCCAGCCAATCATCTCGTAGTCATATGGAGATAGCTTATAGATATTAGAGAGAGTTTTTCAACAGGAAATCCTCCATCTCTCTCCTGAAGACTGTTTATAAGATATGACCCCATAAACGCAACCAAACCCAGTGATACCTTCAAAATTCCACAAAGAGTGGTACGGGGTTTTCACAGTAGAACGAGTGTTATTGGGCTCTAACCGTGTCATCCGAGACTTCCGAAGCACGCAAAATTCGTTCATTTTGTAGTTTTATCAACTGGGGAGATACGAAGATGAGTCAGACCAGCCAATATAGCACGATGGTTCTGAGTCAAGTATACCTGATGAAACGGTCGAGATGGGTGCTGCGAGTAAATGAGGAATGGCATATGCGTAGGGGAAGATAGTTTCATTGAACGGGGAGCAGTGTAAGGTGATACCGAAGATGATCGCCGTGAAGTACCTGATTATGGACTTGTCACAAAAAATCGTCTCTATTAGTGTTATTTCAGGTCACACAACTAGTGTGGTAAAGAATTCGGAATTGCAAGATACTGAGTGCAAGAACCAGGACACTCCTCGTATAATGTTGGCATTCTGTGACGACACTACCCTGCCCTTTGACAGTGTCTCTACTTGTTCCTTAATATAAGTTCCGTTCAAAACACCAAGGATTCTTCCCTTCTGATATCAAGCAGGTAAACTTCCATTTTTTCGTGATGGAGAGAAAGCGCACGCTCATAACCAAGAAATATCACTGCTTCAATGAACAAAAGGAATATAAAATTATGATAACGCATTTTGCACACGATTTGATCTTAGATATGGCTCAGAACCTTTATTTAAGTGAATAAGCCTTTTTTCGCATCCATCTTGTAAAATACTATGTTGCAGTAAGACGGGGTCTGCAAAATGCTGCCATATTCGCCCCGGATAATGATGTTACCTACTTTTTGATAAAGAAAATAACTTCCAAATGGCAATAACTATATCCAGCGAGAAGGTTTCCCAGTAAACTCCCGTACTTCAGTGTATTAAGGGACGAGGTAAAGTAGGCTGCTTTGTTTTTCCGCCGCTCTGTATCAAGCCCCATAAGCCGAACAAAGGTAAACACCTGTTGTTATGGCGGAAGAAAGTTAGTCCGGCTTCCAGTGCCCTTCATGTGACTGGTCTCTTCTCCCACACCAACCGTTATAACTCCCATAATAACTTGCCTAAAGCTGTCAACTATTCTCAACTGGTCACTAGGTAATGTTTACGCAATCAGGATGCGACTCTTTTGATATGCACACAGCATTCCTCTGTAGCAAGCTGTATAACCTGCTTTAGGACGGTAACCTTTAGGCTTTTCTCTTGTGGAACATGACGAAACATATCATTCGATTGCCTTGCTACACTGACTGACCGTTGAAGAACACTAGGCTATGCTACAACAAACCCTCACTTTCAAAAGTATTGACAGAGTAATTGCAAGGCAAACGGTTTGGTGAGGGTCGCTTCAAAACTGAACCTAGTTAGGGGCGACTACTTGCATTCTGAACTCCAAATTCTTTCATAATCTAAGGCGACCATAGCGTAAAGAACTTTCACATACGCTACTTTTTGAGTGTCTAGAAAAAAGGTGCATCGATGAAATGTGTTGTAAGTTCTTAACAGTGACACAGAATTATCCATGGAACTTCTAATTATCTAAAGTCTTGGTTACAGATAGTAAGCTGTTTCGTTCCGTCCCACCAGCTCTAGTGAGAAGTCTATTCCGCTTACGAATCATCTTATTTTATCAGCTAGAAACACATCGTTTATATAGGAAGAAACAATCATTGACGTCAGTCGTTGCAACGCATAAGTAGCCTGTCCTCTTATTGGTTGATTGATCACACGACCAGCTGCCATTTGACGGGAATCCGTTCGCGTCTCATCGATTCGCTGCATTGTCATTCGAGCATCCGCTGGCACAAGCACTGACTTGGATTCCGGCCAGGCGCTGACATGCCGATTACTGACGGGACATGGCTTGCTATCGACCATGAGTTAGCCCATACTCTCACATAGGCTTTCATAAATTAGGTTGAAAATCAGTAGATTTTATAGTCTTATGTCATTGGGTGTCAACTGGTGCATGAGCTTGTACTCGTGGTAGGACAGAGGAGCGAACTGAAGCTGCACTACCATTATCATCATCCGTGGTGATGGAATCCTTTCAGGTCCATATGGTATTAACTCATTAGTCATGTTTGCTTCACCGAAGAAATATCATTTCCGCTATTTTGACTGATGTATACGGGGTGAAGATACCAGAGTGTTCTTGGTGTAAAAACGAATATCATGTTTGCCAAGAGCGTTTCTGTTTGCCTTTGATAAACTCGGTCTTCTGAGGTACCGATGAAATTGAACAAATATTCCACAACTCCTGTTCGTCCAAATGATTTGTTTCCTATTCAATTAGAACCAATCTAGTAAAAGAGTTGGTACTTATCTGAAATGACTCAGTTGTCGTATTTCCAACTAAATCATGCACGTTCATAAGATTTTGCCTCTTTTTTGGTAAGGAAGTGATGAGCACATGTTCCATATACTACAGAGGGGTCAAACTACCTCTTGAAAACCTGTATTTGTGTGGATTTCTGATGGCCTATCCTGGAGAATTTCCATAAACAAGCACCAAAAAACAACGTACTCAACGTCGTCTACTTCCAAACACTTTTCGAAGATAGAAATTTTCTTTGTGTCTCGGTCTTACCCCCACGAATTTCTCATCCCTACTTCTAGCACAAACCGGTGGATGGTGGCAGACTTTGATCAAACCCCAGGTTCAATTGTGTATTTTTGTTTGTCAAAGACAAACTAAATCAGCGCGAAATATAACAGTGAGTGAGACAGCTACAAATCTATTTTTGGGCAATGAACTCAACAAAGTATGACACAAAATGATCTTGGGAAATTCTCTGTAGACCACAACGATGATGGTGTTGGTGATGGGTGACTTGTACACAACGTAAAAAACATGCTGAAAAAGATCTGAGGAAACAATTGATAACCGATCACCCATGAGGCAATGTGGGAACGTATTATGTTAGACGTAATCATGAAAACCAAGACAGAAATACCGAGTGATTGAATATATTCCAAATTGGGTACAACGTTTTGTGATGCAATCAGGGTCAGATCAAAGGCATAATGACAACGTTCGAAACCATAAGATCCCGTCGTCGGCCGTCGCTCGTCATCTTCTGATGACGCAAAATCCAGCTGACCGAAGCACTGCGTTTCGGGTCATTTACGTGGCAAAGAATACCAGGCTGTTGAGGTTTGTTCAAACCATTGCCATACATTGATGGAAACCTAATATTGTGTCAGCCGAAACAGTTCTTTGTTCATGTGTCTTTACCATGGTGACGTAACTTGACTATTGAAATTTCCCCTATATTTATCGAAAATTATGGTTTTACATGAACTTATATACACAGTATGGTTGTGCAGTGTGCACCGTGTTCAGATGCAGCGATATCGTCCCGGACATGAATCGTGCAATGTTGCAACTGTGGCTTTTCTTTTCAAGATTATTTCGGGAAAAACATGCCTAAATTTCCTCAGATCTCGTCTCCGGAAATCAACCATTAGGTCTCTCGAAGACCCAGTCAAATTGAGATGTAAAATTGCCACGATTCGAGTTCGTATTAATTTTCTGGAACAAAATGTGTCCGTTGCAACAGATACCCGATTACGTTTTGCAAACGCTTACGGAGGAATAAGATCTGTGCCTCTACCAGGAATTTGAGACGTTTGATGCGATGTCACATTGATAATTATAAAGAAAATCTAACGACACTTTAGACCACGTGCATCGAATGATCAATAATTCTTGACGAACTGAGCCTCGTTAGCCGAATCAAATTTACCAACTTGTGCATGGAAAACATACGAAAAGCCAAACTTTGTACATTCAACAAGCTTCACAATTCCATCGTTCACAAGTTAGCCGAACCAAATTTTCCGAAACAACGAGAAACGTTTGTGAACAATTTGTCATCGGTTGCACGAATAAACTTCAACTACAGGCTCTTTCGTGTGGTCTACGTTGGTGCATACCACTGAGTAAAATAAACAGCATAAAGACACAGGCGCAATTCGAATATCTATTCGAACAACTACAAATAGTCAAACCAAGTTGAAAAGATGCGGAGACTTGGTTCAAAGCAAAGCTGATTGACTTGGAACGACAGTACCGGATGACATCGTCCAAACATAAGTCACTCTTCACGCCTGAGCACATTCACATCCGCCATTGAAGAGCTACAGTTGCGACCTGATTTGTTAGTTTTACGCCCTAACAAGGGGTCCGGAGCAGTGCTGATCGATCGGAATGATTATGAGAAGAAGATGGAAAGTGTTCTTCATGATCCCAGCAAGTTCGTACTCGAAGATGACTGTGAAGACCCTAAAGAACTAGAACAACAGATATCGACAGAAGTACAGTTTCTACTAGAAGGACACTTCATCGATGAAAGCACAGCTCACCATCTGAAGCCAAAAGGAACTCAAACTGCACAACTGTATGGTTTACCGAAACTACACAAACCCGGAGTGCCACTTGGACCAATACTACTATTACTACTACTACTATTACTACTACTACTACTACTACTACCACTACCACTACTACTACTACTACTACTACTACTACTACTACTATCTATCTATCTATCTATCTATCTATGACAAATTCACCACAACACGAATTGGCTAAATGGCTGGAGAAATTGCTCAAGCAAGTCCATAAACCAATGGTCAGACACACTATGAAAGACAGTTTCGAAGTAGTAAAGCTTTTGGACCAGATCAATGTGAAAGGGAAACACATGGCTTCATTTGATTTCCAACCACTGTTTACGAATGTTCCCAGAAGGGAGGTCATACGTATCATCTGTGACCATGTGGAGCAAAACCAACTGAAAATCGGTATACCAGTATCAGTTCTGGTTAGACAATTACTACTGTGCACAACAAACGTATCGTTCTCCTTCCTTTGTCGGGCTTACAGACAAATTGACAGTGTCCCAATGGGAACTCCATGGAGTCCCATTCTGGCACATGTATTTATGGCTCATCTCGAGGAAAAGGCGAGCAAAATCCTCCAACATTCACAACCTTACAAACGATACGTTGATCATGTTCTAGTCATCACAATAAGTCCAGAAGAGACAACATGCATTAGTGATGAACTCGATCGCCTGCATCCGAATATACGATTTACGATGGAAGCAGAACGCGAAGATACACTGCACTTCCTCGACATTGAAATGACTAGGAAGAATGATGGAACAATCGCCAGATCTGTTTACAGAGAAGAAACTTGGACAGGCCAATGCTTGCAATTTGACAGCTTTGTGTCTGTGGAATATGAACGTAGTCTGGTCCGAGCACTTTTTCAAACAGCTCGACATATCTGCACAGAAGACATGATTGACAACGAACTACGACAGCTGAAAGAATCTTTGACTAGAAACGCTTATCCCGATGCATTTATCGAAAGGCACAGCAAGCCTAAAGTGATCAGACAAACAAATTGTTCAGCAGAAAAACTACTAGTCACCATTTGTCTTGCATTCAAACGTGATGACATCAATTGCTTGCTCAAACGACCACTTGGATCAGCGCTTGCCCGAACATATTATGCAGCTGACCTCAGAATTGTTCATCGAACGATTGAGATCCCCACACCGTCGGTGAAACAACGTTCACCTCTGTACACCAAATCGAATCTGATTTACTAATTTCAGTGTAGTTGCGGAGCAACCTACGTGGTTCGAACAGAGCGGAAGTTACGTAACCGAGTGATTGAATATATTCCAATTAGGTACAAAGTTTTGTGATGCAATCAGGGTCAGATCAAAGGCATAATGACAACGTTCGAAACCATAAGATCCCGTCGTCGGCCCTCGCTCGTCATCTTCTGATGACGCAACATCCAGCTGACCGAAGCACTGCGTTTCGGGTCATTTACATGGCGAAGAATACCAGGCTTTTAAGGTTTGTTCAAACCATTGCCATACATTGATGGAAACCTAATATTGTGTCAGCAGAAACAGTTCTTTGTTCATGTGTCTTTACATGGTGACGTAACTTGACTATTGAAATTTCCCCTATATTTATCGAAAATTATGTTTTACAATCATCAATCTGATATCGCATCAAACGTCTGAAATTCCTGGTAGAGGCACAGATCTTATTCCTCCGTAAGCGTTTGCAAAACGTAATCGGGTATCTGTTGCAACGGACACATTTTGTTCCAGAAAATTAATACGAACTCGAATCGTGGCAATTTTACATCTCAATTTGACTGGGTCTTCGAGAGACCTAATGGTTGATTTCCGGAGACGAGATCTGAGGAAATTTAGGCATGTTTTTCCCGAAAAAATCTTGAAAAGAAAAGCCACAGTTGCAACATTGCACGATTCATGTCCGGGACGATTTCGCTGCATCTCAACACGGTGCACACTGCACAACCATACTGTGTATATAAGTTCATGTAAAACCATAATTTTCGATAAATATAGGGGAAATTTCAATAGTCAAGTTACGTCACCATGGTAAAGACACATGAACAAAGAACTGTTTCGGCTGACACAATATTAGGTTTCCATCAATGTATGGCAATGGTTTGAACAAACCTCAACAGCCTGGTATTCTTTGCCACGTAAATGACCCGAAACGCAGTGCTTCGGTCAGCTGGATGTTGCGTCATCAGAAGATGACGAGCGACGGCCGACGACGGGATCTTATGGTTTCGAACGTTGTCATTATGCCTTTGATCTGACCCTGATTGCATCACAAAACGTTGTACCCAATTTGGAATATATTCAATCACTCGGTATTTCTGTCTTGGTTTTCATGATTACGTCTAACATAATACGTTCCCACATTGCCTCATGGGTGATCGGTTATCAATTGTTTCCTCAGATCTTTTTCAGCATGTTTTTTACGTTGTGTACAAGTCACCCATCACCAACACCATCATCGTTGTGGTCTACAGAGAATTTCCCAAGATCATTTTGTGTCATACTTTGTTGAGTTCATTGCCCAAAAATAGATTTGTAGCTGTCTCACTCACTGTTATATTTCGCGCTGATTTAGTTTGTCTTTGACAAACAAAAATACACAATTGAACCTGGGGTTTGATCAAAGTCTGCCACCATCCACCGGTTTGTGCTAGAAGTAGGGATGAGAAATTCGTGGGGGTAAGACCGAGACACAAAGAAAATTTCTATCTTCGAAAAGTGTTTGGAAGTAGACGACGTTGAGTACGTTGTTTTTTGGTGCTTGTTTATGGAAATTCTCCAGGATAGGCCATCAGAAATCCACACAAATGCAGATTTTCAAGAGGTAGTTTGACCCCTCTTTAGTATATGGAACATGTGCTCATCACTTCCTTACTAAAAAAGAGGCAAAATCTTATGAACGTGCATGATTTAGTTGGAAATACGACAACTGAGTCATTTCAGATAAGTACCAACTCTTTTACTAGATTGGTTCTAATTGAATAGGAAACAAACCATTTGGACGAACAGGAGTTGTGGAATATTTGTTCAATTTCATCGGTACCTCAGAAGACCGAGTTTATCAAAGGCAAACAGAAACGCTCTTGGCAAACATGATATTCGTTTTTACACCAAGAACACTCTGGAATCTTCACCCCGTATACATCAGTCAAAATAGCGGAAATGATGTTTCTTCGGTGAAGCAAACATGACTAATGAGTTAATACCATATGGACCTGAAAGGATTCCATCACCACGGATGATGATAATGGTAGTGCAGCTTCAGTTCGCTCCTCTGCCCTACCACGAGTACAAGCTCATGCACCAGTTGACACCCAATGACATAAGACTATAAAATCTACTGATTTTCAACCTAATTTATGAAAGCCTATGTGAGAGTATGGGCTAACTCATGGTCGATAGCAAGCCATGTCCCGTCAGTAATCGGCATGTCAGCGCCTGGCCGGAATCCAAGTCAGTGCTTGTGCCAGCGGATGCTCGAATGACAATGCAGCGAATCGATGAGACGCGAACGGATTCCCGTCAAATGGCAGCTGGTCGTGTGATCAATCAACCAATAAGAGGACAGGCTACTTATGCGTTGCAACGACTGACGTCAATGATTGTTTCTTCCTATATAAACGATGTGTTTCTAGCTGATAAAATAAGATGATTCGTAAGCGGAATAGACTTCTCACTAGAGCTGGTGGGACGGAACGAAACAGCTTACTATCTGTAACCAAGACTTTAGATAATTAGAAGTTCCATGGATAATTCTGTGTCACTGTTAAGTACTTACAACACATTTCATCGATGCACCTTTTTTCTAGACACTCAAAAAGTAGCGTATGTGGAAGTTCTTTACGCTATGGTCGCCTTAGATTATGAAAGAATTTGGAGTTCAGAATGCAAGTAGTCGCCCCTAACTAGGTTCAGTTTTGAAGCGACCCTCACCAAACCGTTTGCCTTGCAATTACTCTGTCAATACTTTTGAAAGTGAGGGTTTGTTGTAGCATAGCCTAGTGTTCTTCAACGGTCAGTCAGTGTAGCAAGGCAATCGAATGATATGTTTCGTCATGTTCCACAAGAGAAAAGCCTAAAGGTTACCGTCCTAAAGCAGGTTATACAGCTTGCTACAGAGGAATGCTGTGTGCATATCAAAAGAGTCGCATCCTGATTGCGTAAACATTACCTAGTGACCAGTTGAGAATAGTTGACAGCTTTAGGCAAGTTATTATGGGAGTTATAACGGTTGGTGTGGGAGAAGAGACCAGTCACATGAAGGGCACTGGAAGCCGGACTAACTTCCTTCAACGTATTACCCTTGTCTCTGCCACAAAATGTGACCATACACGGAAGGACGAATGTACTGCGCTAAGATATGTAATCTTTTACTTCAAGGTTGCTAGACCTGGGAAATGCCCTTTTTCCTCTGTCGTGAGGTATTGCGGGCACCATATCACAGCGGATACGTAATCTAACATTGCCTTCGTCATGTTCCTTCGTGTTTTCATTTTTAGTCATCTTAAATGCCGTGCCGATAAAATATGCTTTATCGGGCCTAAAGCTTGAAGCATTGAAAGTAAGCCTGTTTGTGAATTGACGTTCTAATATACGTTAGACTACGACTTCAAAGAAGACCGTCACCTTTTTAGTTTCTTCCAAGGGATTAACTATAAGCTTCCCTCACTACTTATACCCTATTTTCCAAGATGTTCATCTTTTCAACGGAAGGGACAGATTCCATGAACAAAACAGTTGACGGTATATTTAGTGGTTGCAGATGACCACTTTGAAATCGGGACTTGGATTAGTCATATACCAGTCAGGACTTGTTACAAGTGTTATCTACCTTGGAATATGAACATGGGTAACATCTTTCAGGACAGCCACGAGCTAAAGATTCCAAATACGTAGTACAAACTTTGCACCGCATTGATTGAGGGCTTGAGTTTAGACATTTTAATTTCCAAGTCTTTAGCACGACGACCTTGCTCAAACAAAACTCAGAACGTGTGGATATGACTGTTTAGCTCTAAACCGAGGACCAGAAAGAGAACAGCGACTGACATGTTTGCTCAGCAAGTTTGAAACTGACAAAAAGGATGATAATATTATTAAATTTATTTTGCTTGATATATTCCGCTATAACGAGCGTATCCAATAGAATCGTGTGTGCCAATAATCACGTGAACGATAACGGAACGAATGATGTTTGCCGGTAGATCGTCTAACGACACACTCCGTTCAAAATGACCCAGGAAAGTGCAGTTCCTCTGCCGTAGATTTATGAAATTTTCACCTTCGTTTTTCAAGCTTTCATAGTAAACACTTGTACACACCCACACCCGTATTACCGAACGAAAAGCATCGGACTGTTCAACCCACTGCTCGGGTCATCGTGATTAATCCATCACGTACTGAACAACTCCTTTCGCCCAAATCATTTGTTTTTATTTCTGCGCTCTCATCGAATCATTCGAACTAATAAATTTTCCATTTATTTGAAGTATTAGAAAACTCTGTCTAGGATACCAGGAATCAATTCTATCACAATCTCAATGAAAATTTCCATTGATTCATGAAAACTCATGCTGCACAAAGAAAATTCTTTTCACTCCATGCTTTAGGCATTAATACGTAGTACGGAGTAACTGGGAATAAATATAGTTCTAGATAATATGATTCATCATTTGCAAATAGTTCTAGATAACAGAATTGAATAAACATGCAATAAGTCCGGGGTCTTTACTACATACTAAAATCTAATGATCATTTTCAACTCTGGTGTGAAATTATATGTGAATTGTGTGACCAGTAAGAAGGAATAGACATGTGCTAAAGTTGGGTGCGTGAAATGTCATGAGATTGATGAGTTTAACAATAAAAAGTACAGAGGGAAACTCTTGTTATGGCCACGGAAACAACAACAACGATTCCACAAGACCGTTCCACGAAACTGTTATTGTTGTTGCCGTGGCTCTCACCTTCGAACTTCTGCGGCTTCTGCCATCAAGCGTAACTGCTTACGTGGTCGTTTGCTGTGAACTGCACAAGTGGTCAGGACCGTCACCGAATCGATTGGCTGTCTACTATCAAACAAGTGTTGCAAGATTGTGTCTTTGATAGTGTGAACTGTTCCCTTGCGAAGAAGGATAGGAAAATGTCCTTCTGTCTCTGGGAACGACAAACATACCTGTCCACGGGATTATTGTTTGAATGAGTGCAAAAGTAAT